AGTATTTCAATGTCGCATTGGGTATGGTTTTTTCAACATGTTCGCCTTAATTTCCTTATCTTCCTCGGTATGCACTTGCCTATATCTTTTCAGTTTTCCGGGAAGGAAACTTGAAAATTTGTCTTACCAGCCGATATTTGATTACTTCGCCCACGTGAGTCCACATTAACCTGCTTTACAAGCTCTACTGTAGCGCATCACTTTTCAACATTCTCTAGTCTTTTTCATATATCTTTTTGTCTCCGGTTTGCAGCTAAGGGAAGAACGTGGCGCGTTCCGAGTTCTCTGTGACTCTTACGTCACCGAGGACACCGGTACCGGCGTTGTTCACCAGGCTCCTTATTTTGGAGAAGTAAGTCCGTGATCAGAAGCCCTCGTTCCTAAAAAATAATAGTTCGATTTTTCATTCTACATCCAAGTTTATGTTTCCTAGTGTGGTATAGGAGGCTGTATGTTTTTGCTGTCTTCATAGCTTAGATTTAATCGCTGAGGCTTCCCTATCCTTTTTCTCCCGAGGAATAACGGTTTTACTTCCACGCCAGCCAATCAACTGGTCAACCAGCATTAGCCGACTGGACTACACAGGCCTCGACTTACACGCCCCGGTCTCAGTTTTCCGGGTTTACACTGAATACGGATGGGACGGTAAGCGGTGCAGCAAAAACCACTTATGGTCACCTTCGTGTGCAGACGTCGTTTGTTTCCGGTTACCGTGACACGCTAATCCGGAAGCAAATGCCGCTGTCCGTGCGTACATGTATGTATAGACCCTGAATACTTACTGGGTCTAGAATCAAAAGTTCTGGCCGATCGACTTTACTCATGTCTGCGTTGCACACCACCAACAGTACCTAGGCCATGTGCCCTATGCAAACCAATTGTTGAATGCGATCTCGCTTGAAAACCCCCTCACCTCCAGCATTCCAGCGTAGCGTTTATCACACCAAACGTTGGTTATTCTTCGCGACCATTAACTATTAGACAAAACCAGTAAATGACCACAAGACAGTCTGTTCTGCCGAGTGGAGTTGGTATGTGTCACCTTTACGTGCGAATCTCATAATCACTCCAATGGCGATTTGGAAACGCTTTTTGGTCTGACAACATACAACATCCATTGGTTTGTTTTATGCAGACCGTTGCCATTCTTTTCTAATCGACTTCATTTCCTTAAATTTTGTGGCGGTGAAGGATGTCGCGAGGTGGTACGTCACACTTTCATTCAATACGCCTAAGCCTCTTCATCCTGCACGCAATTCGCTGACAACCTTCTCCACATGTTAGAGAGCCAACCTCTCGTTGTTAGCACGAATAGACTTGTGCAGTGCTCATTGCATAGTGTAGTTGAGAGGACTATTCTTCCTCTTTTATGTGCGTTGGCCTCCTCTGTACGGTAGTGAACTACGTGTGTTTAACTCTTAAAATACATCCTGAGCACGTGCTATGTCAGCTGTAGAAGACCAGTTGTAGCTACTGATTGAAATTTTCTTCCGCACACTCCTTTTGAATTTTGCGACATCCCCGCTGTTTACCTAATATTCTCCGTGGTGTCTTGTGCAATTTTACCAAACAGCTTGTAGAGTGGTTATTGAGTTTTGATTGTTGTATATTGAGCACCATTCACATTTTGTCGCAGCGTTCACATTCAGATGAATTTTTAAGCCGATCCCCCTCAAGGAGAAACGCGAAACTGCTGTTTTGCTCGCCCATTAGAGTTAGTCGGTAAGGTGCATGTTTACACGGGCGATTATTTGATTTCTGACCCGTGCGGTTGTCATTTTGACGTGTTGACCATTGCATTGTTGGGTCCGATCTAAGAATGATCGCAGTAATCAATGTGAATGCAAAAGCTGCTATCAGATGTGAGTGGTTTTCAGCTCATAACTTGCAAAAGTTATTATCTCCAAGCGACTTAACAGTCCTTTTAAGATCGGTTACTCGTTGTCGCTTTTTTTACACTTTGTTTTCAGCGTCATTTTTCATCTTTGATGACAAGACGTCAAGAGGTTTTGCAGTTGAAGAACGCAGGTGCCTCTGCAAGACTATAGTGGTTATGTATATTTAATCTTTGTACTTAATTTATGAGGGTTGTTACTCGGTTCTCTTACATTGTATGTTGCGGAAGTGTGAAAAGTGAAATGGAGGCTCCTATTTTCAAGGCTAGGATGGTCTTTGCCAGCTCTTATCGTTCCTAGCGACGGAAGTTTGTCTTTATGAAACTCGGGGACGTGGTGTTACTCCACGGCTGTTAAACATGGCCACTCAGAGTAAAGAACATAAATTGTCTCCAGCTGTTCGATAGCCGATTTCTGCCTTCATCATTGTCTTAATAGGTAAGCATCGATAACGTTAGGATTCGCGTATTTTATAGTAGAGGCCAAACAGTTTCGGTTTTTTCAGTCATCTCTGCTAGATTGTAGATGTTGGATCATACACTGATGGATTCAGTAGAATAAAATTTTGACTTTTCCCATCGGTGTTTTGCGATTAGGTGAATCCATCAGACGCTTCATGTGAACGTAACTAAACTTGTATATGGTCATTACGATTCACTGCCAATCACGGATATGGTTTCCTCGTTGTTAGTTATGATCCAAAAGTACATTTACTTTCTGAATTGTGTCAGAGGTGGTATGATGTTCGGTGAGATCACAAGATGTTTAATCGAAACCGAACTTGCATTTGCCAACTTACGTCATTTGCACATCGACATGCTCTCTGTCCGTGATTGAGTTAATACTTTGTGCAACTTTGCGATCAATCCTGTTTGACTGTGAAACGTGACCGATCCCCAAAAAATGCTCACCATTCGTCTGCTTTCGATCACTGGTTAGCGTTGACGAAATTCGCCTGCATACTATCTGAACGAACAGACTGTGCTGATCACCGAACATAATAACGTGGTCTCTCACTATTCGTCGACTCAGATATATCTCGCTCATGCTAACCTATAGCTTGTCTTGCAGCGATTTCTCTACGTACGTCGATTTAAGTTGTAGATGACATCCAGATAACCATTGGCACTAGTGTCGTTCGGTTGCAAGTTGTTAGATTTTCCGTGTAATCCTTATTGATAATTTGTTTTTCAGGACGATTACCGTGTCTGTACAACAAATGGGATTATTTCCAAAGACTCGCCTATCATTTGTCCTGTTGATGCCACCGGGCGTTTTACGACTGAGGTGCAGGATTTTGCCGGTCAGCATGTGAAGGACGCGGACAAGGCTATTTGTCAGCAGTTGAAAAAGCGAGGCCGCATGGTCCATCAAAGCACGGTGAATCATAGCTATCCATATTGTTGGAGGTACGTCTGTTCATGAGGAGGTGGATCTTGAGCTTAGTTCATGAACCTTACTTAGACAACATTTTCCACTTTGTTTTGAGGATTTGTCACTTTTGCTTGCTGTATATCTGGCGAACATGTTCCAAAGTGGCACTAAACGGGCCAGAATATAGAAAATGTGATTGTGGCTTCCCTTCTGGACCACGAACCTAATAAATACTGTCCGACCGCTTTTAATATATTGTTCACAATATACTGGACAAGTATCTGTTAATAACTGGTTTCCCTGTGTGTTCGGTTCGTTCAGTCTCGACAGTGCTAGACAAACCTGACAGGGTTGTGCTGTACTGCTGCTTATTGCAGTGGTGTCTTTGGGGCGTCGGGTTGCAACCTTATGTTAAAACTTCTACATGAAAGAAGACTGCATCCGCTGTGTCTTGAAACACTCAAAGATCGCTTCCTGCGAAGTCTCCAGTGCACAGTCACATATTACTCAGCGGCACTGGTAGGTAATGTGGCAGGCGCTGAACTGACTATCCCCTACGTCCAACAAATTAGAAACTGGAAGCGACAATGAAAATGTGCACACAATTTGCGTCTGACATTTCAGCTGTATTACTGGCAACGAATGTCAGCCGTACATATTAACTTATACATTTTCTGTGGCGTGTTTCCGTATCTTGTAATTGGCATTCGACAGTAAACAACCTCGTAGCCTAAACGTTTCATCCAAGCACACCAATACCACACCGAGTGATCGCAGACTATTTAGCGTTTTAAACCGCTACGCCGTTCATCAGGGTGCGATTCTTTTCCCTGTTCTCATTTTGCATCCAAAAGATCCAGTGTGCTCTTACCCATGACTGCGTACCAAACTATACGAAGTACAAACTCAGCAATTCTGGCATTATAAGTGGCAACATGTGGTGAATTCGAATCTCAGGAGGCTTTCAAGCACCAGATACCGTAGCTTGCGGTACATTATCACGTGGATCCACCAAACTCTGGATTTCAGACCCATCCTTAAAGGTGATAGATTTCGGTTGACGGAAGGTATTCGTAAGTAGCCCAGAATAGTCTAGTTGGTGACTGGAAAGTTTGGCTAACTGGGGAAGTTAATGTCATAGAATCCGTTTTTGCATCATGGACTATTGATAAACTATTCGAGCTAATCTATACAATTAGCACGAAGCGTCTTTCAATGAAACTGTCGTCGCGTCGAATACCAGATTTGTTTGTACTAACTCAAAGGAATTGAATCGGTGCCCTCAGCATTTCAAGGGGCGACGTATCTCTAATGCCATGCCTTGATCAGTAGAGTTTGAACCATCTAATCGAATTAGAGTAATAGTTATATTTCGATTTTCAAACTTGGTAGAGCTGTTTGCTCAGACGACCTCATGCCAACATTTTTCACCTAATGTATGCTCCACAGTGATACCAGAACAATCGCTTAATCCTGTTGACTCTCACAGAGCTTCAATTCTTTTATACCTAACTCAGAACGGTTAGTCAGCAGGCATTTTCATTGGTTTAGTTTTTCTCTTTACCCATCACGTATATTTTCCATGGACAATTTGGTTGCTGTTGAGCATCGTAGATAACCACTTTGTCTATCTTCTGGACATCTATGCATTTGTGAATAAAGCAACTTGTTTTACATATGAGTGGTTTGACAGATTTATGATTTTCGATGAAACCCATTTGTAAAAAGTCAGGGCTTCGGCTGGATTCGAACCAGCGACAGAAACGCCATGCCTTCACGCGGCAAGCACTCTACTGACTGAGCTACTAAGCCACACCGGAAGGTCGGAAATTTCACACTAAGATTCGGTTACCCACCCGTCCCACTGTGTCATATGGAATCCACCAAATGTGATCCAGGGGACCGACTGCCCCAGCAGGATTTGTCGAACAGTTCACGTTGGAATCCACCAACACCACTGTTGAGCATAGAAATTATATTACTGATAAATGGGATGGATGGGTAATAGAGTCCAAATGTGAAATTTCCGAGCTCCTGGTGTGGCTTCGTAGCTCAGTTTGCAAGGCGCTTGCCGCGTTTGGGCATGGCGTTTCTGTCGCTGGTTCGAGTCCAGCCGGAACCCTCACTTTTCACAAGTGAGTCCCATCTAAAATTGTTGTTTGTTGTTAGACAAGCATTCTTATTGCACTGGTTTGTTCTACAAGACTTTATGCTCCAGTTAGTTTTTCTGAATCTAGCCAAGTCTGACTGGGTGCATAGTCGCGTCTGCTGAACATTTTCAACAACTAGCTGCCAGCATTCGAGTCATCATTCAACCTTACCGGGTTCATGCAAATTGCTGGAGCGCACGAACTTTAGTTGTCTCTTCATTAGAGTCATGTGATTTATTTGTTTTGTTTAGTGTCTACCTCCTGTTGTGTACAGCAGCTCGCGGTAACCCAGTGGTAACTGATACTCGACTGCAAACCACGCGTTCGTGGGTTCGAGCGCGGTCACCACATTTCCTTTTCTGTAGACTTGAGTGGTCTCACAATATGTTGTCAGCTTGCGACCTCGTATACCATAGTAGCGAGTACTTTGTAGTGTGAATGTTAAAAACCTAACTTGCACTTGTATGCATACTGTTCGCGTTATTACTGTAATGCGATCTCCATTGATGAAGCTTAATGAACTTAGAAAAGAGATCATACAAAATGTAAGTACACATTTCTTGAATGGCATACCTAAATGCTTAGTTGCCGAGGTTGCAATTGTCCCTACCAAATACAGTGTATGGCGAGCTTTTGTTGACTAGATTAGCTTCACACAGTTTCCTGAATATTTTTTCTGCCCAATCGTGATGACTTTCGTGGTATTGCTCTTCAATGTTGCTTATTTTCTCGTGTTTTGTTCCACACGCAGGTCGGATACCCCACTTATCTACAAGGCTGTACCAACATGGTTCATTCGTGTAGAAAACTTGGTGGAAAAACTGTTGGAAAACAATGCTAAATGTCACTGGTAAGTTTTTGTCTTGATAACCCGTTTTCTTGGTCTTGGAAACGCTGATATTTCGTATGTTAACGTTCGTCAGTTATGTGAATGTACCTGATATCATGCAGTTGTTAGTATTAAGGTTATCGTCCTCATGAACCGCCGTGCATTCTCTTTATTTGAACTCATGGTGTCGAAGTCTGTCTGCTAGTTACGTACGCTCGTAGGTTCGAGCCCGGTTACTCCGACTGCTTCCTTCAGATTTGGGCACTCTGATGGTATCGAGCATACATTTGACCTTTCACGTCACATAACGGCGAACATTTTGTAGTGAAACGGTTGAACAATTCACGTCCACTTTTTTGTCCATTAGGACCTAGTACACCATACGATACCAGTCGGGATTGTGGCTTGAGAGATGTAGTGTTTGATTCTACGTGACCTACGACCATGTCTTTAGTGTGTGGTCTCTGGAGTTCTGTACTGGGGTTTTTGATACGATTGTCAGCTTCATCACCTACGGCTTTCCACGAAGTGGGTCCAGATTAAACAAAGAAACTTCGTAAGTTAGCATTTTCTAATCTTCCATTTTGTCCTGGGCTTGTGCAGTTTGGAGTAGCATTGTGTGCTTCATGGTTCTGTCTTCGTGACCTTTACTTTGTCCCCTTTCTTGCTTTACAAGGGAATATTTTTGTTTAAGCTCAATGTAGACGGCTGGATCAAATGAAGGCTGTTAGCAGTTCTTGGTTTTTGATTGTTTCTTTCTTATGGGTGAGATGTACAATGTTTTTACTTATGTAGTCCTTCTGTATGGCTGCAAAACTTGGCTAATTTCCACTGACAATTCTGATCAAAATCTTAGCTTCTTACATACACGAAAACTAGTGTTTCGGACGTGAAGATTTTGTTCCATGGAATGTTATTAACTTCTTGATTTGGGTCTGAAGAACAAAACACAGCTACCGTTAGCTACTCATTCAGAGGTGGCTCGGATTCGACATCAGCGGTTCTTCTGTTGTAAAGCTCAGCGTCCTTTTTATGGACGATTCAGTTTCCCCACGTTTTTCTTGCGCTTCAACTTACTGAATTGTACCGGATCTGTCGTGATTCAAGGACCCATAAGATTGATTAAAAAGAGCTTGACTTTTCTGTCGTTTGTAGTGTTGGGCTGGTGGTACTGTGGCTAACCCTGTAACCTCATGATAACTTGGACGGAAGATCAAATGTCAGTTGTGGCAAGATCGTACACCGCTGGTGAGCTCTAACGGAGCCGAAACTCCAGTCGGTTGCCTTTTTCTTGTAAAAAAAAAGAGCCTATTGAAAATTGTGTATCAGGAATTAGTCCTTACAGGAGCGATCCTCATTGTGCACACTGTGTACTTTTATATGAGACATCTGTTGATCTTGTTCATTTAACTGCACTTGTTTTCTATTTTCTCAGTGATATCTCTTTTTTCATATTTGTCCGGACGTGTATCTAGGGTTCCTGATTTCGTGCGCGAGGGTCGATTTGCCAACTGGCTACGCGATGCTCGAGACTGGGCAGTTTCTCGAAACCGTTTCTGGGGCACTCCTATGCCATTGTGGGTAAGCGAGGATTTACAAGAAGTTGTTTGTATCGGATCAATTGATGAAATTCACAAATTGTCCGGCGTCAGGGTCACTGACCTTCATCGGGAAAAGTAAGCTAACTAATCAGATTTTAGTTGTACGCCCAGATATTACTTTACTGGTTGCTCAGCTGCTTGACAGTTTTTTCTCCTACACAATTTCTTGTACAGTGTGGACCATATCGTCATACCGTCACGTACTGGTCGAGGTGTGCTTCGTCGTGTATCGGAAGTATTCGATTGCTGGTTCGAGTCCGGTTCTATGCCTTATGCTCAAGTGAGTTTGTTCTCTACTTCACTTAGCTGTTGCACTTTCTTTCTGCATAAGCTAAAGTTGACAAGTCATTTGTTGCTGGCCTGCAAACCAGCACACATCCACCATAGCTACAACCGGGTTTGAGCGAAACTTTTGCTACAGTTAGTCCCAGTGGCCACTTGTGGTGCTGTGAACGATCGTCTCAGCTTTGTTAGGTCTCATCGGCGCCACGCACACCACGACCTATGTGAATAAGTGTTAACGTTGCAGGTGACCACCAAATGATAATCCAGACACTTATCCGCGAGATCGCATCACAACGGTTGCACGAAGATGTTTGGGTTACTCTCCTTAGCTGTCGCATTTCCTTTTTTCATTGACAGAGATTGATCGGGTTTGAACAGCTGAAGTTGGTCAGCCGCTTATTGTTGACCTGCCAATTGGCAAACGTTCATCCATGTTTCTCCTGTGAGCATACTAGTCAGACCCATGTAATCGTCGTTGGTCGATTCAAATCCTGGATTAATTATGTGCTGCTTGATTTGATCCCGTTAGTGATAACAAAGTGCGATGTGTTTAGGTTGAACAATTAATTCTTTCAGTTAAAGAAGAGTTCTCCAAACGTTTTCTGCCCGTCGCTGCTTCCGAACATTCTTAACCAGACACCCTGTAGGACTATATAAATGATGTTTAGAATGTTCGCTGTGTTGAACTTCAAACCTTTCACATGCCGTGGAGACCATTTAATCTGGCAGTTGGCTATTGATCACATTCTACGTCTCGCAAATGGATAATGTTTGATGTGTAGCTTGTCAGCTAACATCAGCCGAAGTATACTAACAACCCGGTCAATGGATTGCAGTTAACATCAAAATTTACAGGACAATACACGCAAACTTCGGTCTGTTACTGTTTTGCTAGAGCCCATTGTCCCTTCCACTCACATAGGTTTTCCTCACACGTCTTTACCCGTATTCATATTGCTGCTCGTTTACACTTGTTTGGCCTACTTGAAGCGACTCGACGCGGTTAGTCCGGAACTAGTGACAACAGTGGAACCGACATCGACCTACCATCCGTTCACGATCCTGCCTAGGATATCCTTCCTATTCCCCGCTCTTTCATACTACTTGGATCTATCATGCTTCTTCGCATCATTGTACGACTAATTACAACTGGTCTAGCTTCTTGTTGTCGGTGTTTTCCAAAAGTTTACTGTCCGACGCCATTTCTTAGCACAGTTTATGTTGCATTTTATTACATGTTCACAGTAGACACATCTTTCTTCCAATAGTCGTAAATAGAGTATAGGTCTTCACTATTTGTATCAACTCTCCAATCGCCAAACCGGTTAGTCCTTTTTCTTTGTAGGACATTATTGGATTTTTCCTTCTATTTTTCTCTTATCCTCCTATTGCTCACATTGACTGACTTGAATAACCTTTGGTTACGTTTAGTTACATTTTAATCTATGTGGCCGGAAACGTTTTGAACATTTCCGTTCTGATCTTGTGGCTAGGTGGTATTAGGTGATAATCTATCAAACAACAATTCTATCAGTTGTATTGGAATACACTTACTACCACTTTGGAATCACAATCCCGCAATCCTGCGGTTTGATCCAGCTAAACTGAAATGCACTTTCGAATTCGGCGCATCATACAAGTCTACACTATGTTTTCATACGTCGTCACTGCACTGCTCTTTCACATTGTATAGCAGGCGCGGAATGTCTTGTATACTTGCCCAACGATTTTACGTAGGCGCACAGCCGAATCGGAACGAAAATGATCCAGACGATTACCTAGCGGCGAGCAGCTTGGCGATTTGCACCCCACCCTTCGTTGAGGTGGTCGGCACAATTTCTGGTTGTTCAGTCCGTCGATAATGTACTGTTCCGTCAGTCATTCCTTTCATATTTACTAACATTCGTGCACACCATTTTAATATCTCACAAAAAGATACCGCCACAC